CTGGACAAGCACGAGCCGCTCTACAGGCAGCTCAACCAGAGAGAACATGAGATTATCATGCTGCTGGATAAGGGTAAGCCATCCCACACTCTCTCACACACTCTATCTCTTTCTATCTGTATTATCTATCTATACTGAATACTGGACTGATCATCGTGGTGATCTTTGGGCCTATGCCCAGCATTGGGCGTTGGTTAAGTAGATAGATACATAGATTACTTACCTGTTCGCGACTTCGTTCGCGTGAAGTTAAAAGAAATAGTAAAATAAAGCTTATATTATAGCTTTTTAATGGTGCAAGATATTTTGCAATCGGTCGAGTAGTTTTTGAGTTATTACAATATATACTATAATCCAAAATTACACATTTCCTTTCTATAATAGAACTAGTACAGATAACAAAGCGTAATCATACAATTCTTTGTTATATAGGATAGGTGGGGGCGTTTTCTTATTCTCTTAAGGGTGTAACCCTTAAGAGAATAATAAAACGCCCCCACCCCGTAAATCCATCGGGCGATGTCCATTTTATAGGCTACATAATTAAATCCTACTGTACAGTATTGTATTAAAATATGTAATTGTGTAGGTCGTGAAATGGAGAAGAAACCCTCGCACCAGAACCTACGCAAGGAGCTGGACCGCATCCAGACACAGTGGGACAAGCTGAAGCGGGAGACAGTCGACCGCTACAACAGACTGCAGACCGCTATGGTGAACACACCTTTATTACATTTAGAGTTTTCATTTACATTTCATTTTATAATGTATTTTACATTTCATATAAGAATTTTATTTTCCTTTAAATGTTGGTTAGGGATGTTTATAAAATTTTACACAATTTAATTTTTAGTTAAATTTCGCTTAGAAATTACGATATTTTTGTTTTATTAAGTAATTTGCATGAAGTATTACATACGATAGAAATTTTTTTTGTTATAATTTTACAACGAAATTTTGCTAATTTATTCAAAAAAAATTATATACATTTATGGAAATGTATTAATATATTTCGATTTCTTTCTACAGGAGCACTGTCGTAAATACAGCAAGGCGCAGGAGTCCTTCCTACCGTGGTTGTCGGACACGGAGGAGCGGCTGCTGAAGCTGCCCCCCACCACATTCACTAAGAAGGAGGTGGAGAAGCAGCTGCGTGAGCTGCAGCAGATCAGAAACGATATCTGGAAGAGGTAAAAAAAAATTGATACCTTATCACTGGGGAGTAAGGTTGAATATTGATTGTGATTAGATAGATTACATTTAGAGATATAAGACCCTAAGAATTGTTACTTTATTGTATTGATATAAGGTTCAAAATCATTTGTATTTCGATGTAAAAATATTTTTACAGTTCTTGTTGAGTTGTAAGTAGCATAGGAATATAAATCTTATTGTAATATACAAAGGTTTTTATTTGATTGTTGCAGGTCTGGAGAGTTCGAGAATAACAAGACTCTAGGAGAAACCTTCATCTCAGCGTGTGATGTAGACCAGGAGGTGGTGAGAAACCAACTCGATAGCATGAAGGAGAGATGGGACAGAATTAACAACGGTTAGTACTGCATAGTTACTTATTTTGTTATATATGGTTTGTTTGAAAGTAGAAAAGTATAATATAGAAATGTTAAAACACTAGAAGAAAGTGGTTACTGTAGTTAAAAAATTGTTAATTTAAAAGTTTATGATTCTTTAAATTCTTTAGTAAACTATATCAAATTGCGATTGTATGGATGGATGGATGTTTTTACTACATATCTCCAAAACGGATTAACGGGTCGCGTTGAAATTTGACACAGATGTAGAAGTCTTGGATAACATATGGACTAATTACTTTTAATTCTTTCGGAACGAAATAGCTAGTAAAAACTAAAACTTTCTATGTCACTAGTCATTCTCAAACAATATTGGTGTTCCAGAAGTACTCCAGCACGTGGAATTCCTGGAGTCAACGTTACGTAAGCTGGGCGAGTTCTTGGAGCGTGTCCGCGGCGTGGAGGCGCCGCTGCAGCGCTGCGAGGAGCGGCTGGAGGCGGCCCGCAGCGCGCCGCCGCACGCCGCGCACGACGCCGTCGCCAGGATCGCGGACCAGCTGCACGCGCTCAGAGCACCGCTGCAGGTAACGTAAAACTCCGCCCCTTTTACTCCCTTTTAAATGCAACCCCGCCCACTTTACTCCCAACGTTCTTGGACTCCGCCCACAATACCTTAGTCAAGGTCTGTGACCAGTTGCACGCGCTCAGAGCACCGCTGCAGGTAACTTTAAACTCTGCCCCCTTTACTCCCTTCTATATGAAACCCCGCCCACCTTACTCCCAACGTACTTGGACTCCACCTACAATACCTTAGCCAAAGTCTGCGACGTACTGCACGCGCTCATAGCACCGCTACAGGTTAACAGATACATAAACTTAACGAAAACTCCGCCCTTTTTACTTCCAACGTAATTAAACTCCGCCCACTTCGTTAAGAGTAAACTCTTAACCTACTTCAACTCCGATGTAGCTAGGGTCAGTAAGCTGCACGTGCTTAGAGCAAGGGGTATTTATAACATTTTTACAGAAATGTTGATTTACACAACTAAAACTCCGCTCCTTTACACTCTTCAACTTACATCTGTATTTGTTACAGAATTATTATATTTATGTTATAAATATAATTTCATTTTTCTAAATTAGAATAATTTCTGTATAACCTCACTTTCTGCACATTTATTTTCTCCAGCCAAAGGACGAAACAATCTAGAACTAAGTCACTTTACAGATGCAACTATACTCTTGTATCCACTCGAGCGGAAGAATACTATCTCTTTCTTACATATACAAAACAATAGATGATTAACACTACATGTCTCTTTCTAGAGCATGCACGGCGCAGCGGAGGACATAATCTCTCTAGCGCTGGAGTGCGCAGGTCCAGAAGTAGCGGAGCGCGCTAGACCTGTTCTAGAAGAGACTGCCCGTGCGCTGTCCGACCGCCTGCAGCAGCTGGAGGCACGCGCTGATGAGGCGCGAGACCAGCTGGCCGGCGCTACTGCTGCACTCGCACATTTCCAGGTCTAATAACATTAACTTACAGATGTTCCTATCATCCAGGTCTATGCAGATTATATGAGTTTTGTTATAGATGTAGTTTAAAATCTTATATTGTTAATTTGAGTGCAGCAGATAGATCAGTATATCTTGGCATAAAAAAATTATATATATCGTAAATACCAGCGTTTGTAATGTTCTTGTCAAACTAATCTTTTAAATTTCTTCAGGACAAAGTAAAAGGCGTATCCCACGACTTATCAGACTTGGAGAAGGAACTGGACAGTATGAAGGCACCTGGACGTGACGTGAAGACAGTCCGTCAGCAGCTGGATGACCTGGCGCGGTATTACAAGCGCCTTGAGTCGGCTGACGACCTGATAGCTGATGCTGAACGGGCTGCTGAGGGTCTGGTTGACAGTGGACACTCCGTCGACGTTGCTAAGACTAGGGACCAGGTGAGACATATTTTATATTAAAAGTTGACTAACAAGTGGTTACTGGAATTCGCCAAAAAGGCGAAATGAGCGCTGCCCACAGACATCCGTTTTTGCACATGCTTTTCCTACCTTTATCAACAGAAGAAGGGACGGACAGAAAGATAATGTTTTTTCTATCTATGTGTACCCTCCCCTACCAAATGCAAATTCCATTCCCATCCTCTTTTGTAAGAAAAAAGTGGGAAGGGGAATAGGACTAAAAATAACGACTAGAGATTCATCAAAATACGTGGAATATATTCCAATAGCCGCATGTTTTCTTTGTGGTTGTGTTCAAAATTATTCCTGCAACAGATGTTTTTTTCGCCTCTATAATCGTTAAATACTTGACTTTATATTTCCAGGTGGAAGGACTCCGCAAACAGCTGGGTAAATTAGACGAGCGCGCTCGCAGCAAGGAACAAGATCTGGAGGACACACTGTCCAAGCTGGAAGCCTTCTACAAGGCATATGACGCTGTCATGGAAGACGTGCAAGAGGTAAATATATTAACACTAGTATTTCCTTTATTATTTTACGTGGAATTAAAAATAATAATTTGTGACTTATTTCAGACTGTAATCTATAAGTGTTCCAAATTTTATCCAAATCCATTCATACGTTTAGGAGTTATTAGGTAACAAACATCCATACATCTCACTATCTATCCAAAATGTCATGTATGAATGACATAAAAGAAATGCATAGAAATGCAACGATTAAATTATCTAGTGAAATGTCTTCATACTGTGGTCACGTTTTCAGCTTATTTTATTAAAATTGTGAAAAAGAAAAAAGAATCTACTAGAAGTATTTACTAATTTTGACAGCTGTTGTCGACAAATTTTAAGTTTTTTCTATAGTTAAAACAGTAGTAATAATAAACTTTTCTCATCACCAGGCGACAGAACAAGTGCGAAGCCTAAAGCCGGTGTCCTCAGAAGTGGAGCAGATCAGATCCCAACAGAAAGACTTCGCTGACTTGAAGACCAAGACCCTGGAGCCTCTCGGCCAGAATGTGGCGCACTGCAACAAGATCGGCCAGGGCCTGGTGCGCTCTGCCAACCAGGGCGTCTCCACGCAGACCTTGGAGAAAGACCTGGAGAAGATGAATGATAGATGGAATGCATTGAAGGAAAAGGTGAGTGCCACAGAATATAAAATTACATTTTGATTAAATTAAATGTATCAAATAAAGGAAAGGCTGTAATAGCTTACGGTCTAGGTGATAGGTTTTAATTTGAACTTCCAAAGGTCTTGCGTATCCATATGCATTGCCAAGGCAGCTGCCCCCCCTCCCCCTCCAAAGGAATTAAAAAAGGCAAAATAGATTTAAAAACTACTTGGAAAGAGACCAATGACTTTAGTTGCTCCCAAGACCTGGAGAAGGTCATCGGCTGGCGAGACCTTTTCACGCATGATACATATTTAACTAAGCATATACTCTTGCTGTCATTTTGTAGCTAAAACATCTAAAATATTACTAATAGATTTAAATTTTATAGTAGTCAAACGATAGATGGCGCTATTATCAAAATAAAAGAAAACCCTGTTTTTTCTGCTTTTTTTCTGTACAATAACGTTATTTATTTCGTTAAAATTTATAATTTTTTAATTCAAGAGATATTTTAACAATGAATTTGTTTGTCAGATGAACGAACGTGAGCGTCGTTTGGACGTAGGTTTGCTGCAATCAGGCAAGTTCGCGGAAGCCCTCGCTGGGTTGGAGAAGTGGCTGAGCGACACCGAGGACATGGTTCACAATCAGAAACCACCCTCAGCTGATTACAAGGTGGTGAAAGCACAATTACAGGAGCAGAAGGTTAGTGGACTCTATTGTGGGGGGATAAGGTTGAAAATTGCAATGAAGTTTAAAAATCTTTGCATGTTAAGAGAAGTCACGTTTTGAGTTTTTAATACTTCTGATTTGTCTTCTTAAATAGTTTGGTACTGTAAAGTATGAAATTTATTAAAAAATATAGTTTAAATCGTGAAAAGTAAGGTTATTTAGGTATGAATTATAAAATAGGTTGATTTTTACTTTATTAAAGATTTAATTGTTGCTCGTAGATGTTTTACCAATTTGAAGTTACAGAGTTTTATATTTCCTTCTTGTTGCAGTTCTTAAAGAAGATGCTGATGGACCGTCAGAACTCGATGTCGTCGTTGTTCGCGATGGGCAACGAGGTGGCTGCCGGCTGCGAGCCTGGCGAAAGGAAGGCGGTGGAGAAGCAGCTCAAAGCCCTGATGCAGCGCTTTGATGCCCTCACTGATGGTGCACAACAGAGGATGCTGGACTTGGAGCAGGCTATGAAGGTAATATTTAAAATTAAGTAAATTTCTACTTATGTCAACATATAATTGTATCGGTCAATTTTTTATTTTGTCGCATTATCAACTAGTTTTAATGTTCTGGTAACAAATTGTGACTGAACACTGACCTGCATAAATGGACAAGCTATAAAATTTGGTTCATTGTGTCTATTTTGGTGGATTTGAACTAATAGAGATAGAATCTAGAAACTTACGGTTTTCGGGAAATCCATATAGAATAAATGTTTGTTTGCCATCAGGTGGCGAAACTGTTCCAAGAACAGCTGCAGCCGTTGGTGGAGTGGCTGAGCAGTGCGGAGAGGCAGGTTAAAGCCCTCGAGCTGGTGCCCACTGATGAAGAGAAGATACAACAGAAGATAAGAGAGCATAAGGTTTGGAACACATTAAATGCTATGATTTTGTCATAAAAGTCAACTACGTATGTAACAAATCAACTCAAAAAGTACTGAATTGATTTCAAAAAATCTTTTATTATTAAAAAGCTACATTAACACTACGTGATATAGGCTATATTTATAACTTTAATTTATTTAATTTCAACGAATACAGAGTAAAAAATGTAACTTTCGTACCAGATCCTTCACGACGATATACTATCAAAGCAGCCAGCGTTTAAGGAGTTAACAGAAACTGCGTCTGCCCTCATGGGGCTGGTGGGAGATGATGAGGCTACCGCGTTGGCCGACAGACTACAAGCCGCTGCTGACAGGTAAGATTTATTTGGTAGAAAATAGTAGGAAAGTTAATAACCAAGAAAATTTTCAACCAACACTAGTAAGTCAAAGAAAACTCAAAAAGTACTACGAAAAATTATCAAATACTACCAATCCTGACAGATTTACAAACATTTACTAAATGTAATAAATTATCAAATTAATTGGTATTATTATTCTAGGTTTTATATTATTACTTTACTGTCTATTAAATTTCTTTTAACTAACAAAATCATTTATAAATCATCAACATTAAAATTCTAGATACCAAGCCCTAGTAGAACACAGCCTGAACATCGGAGATCTGCTGGACAACTCCCGCAAGGGTCTACGTCACCTGGTCCTCACCTACCAGGACCTGTCAGCCTGGATGGATGCCATGGAGCAGTACCTCACCAAGAGGAAGATCCTACCAGTCCACATGGAGAAATTGCTTCGACAGATGGACGAGCTAGCTGTAAGTTAAATTCAACTTAAACGAACACATGTTAAAGTAAATAGTTACACTTATTTAACTTCGACTCTAAATAACAAGTAATAAAGCTCAAATTCCCAAAGAAATAATCGATGATTGTTTAAGTAATATCAACTTTACACCACCATATATAAAGTCTAAAATCCTCTAACAGGAGAAAACTGAAGAGATAGCAACCAAACAAGAGGCAGTGGACAGTACAGTGGAATCAGGGTTGGAACTGATGAAACATATATCTGGAGACGAGGCTCTGCAGCTGAAGGAGAAGCTGGACGCGCTGCAGCGGCGGTACATCGAGCTGAGCGGCCGCGGCGCCGACCTGCTGCGCCACGCCTCCGAGACCCTGCCCCTCGTGCAGCAGTTCACCAACAGCCATGCTAAGTCAGTACTTTTATACACTAGGCTGTGCCATTTATTGACTTTTGTACACCTGAAGTAGTATATTTATATAACCTCATAGTTAGATGTCCAATTTTATACTCTCTTTTTTAAATACTATCGATGTTATTTTATACTTGTGACAAATTGCATCATATTCTGGTTTTATCTTTCTAATCATACTCCGTATTAATGTCACAAATGCAGAAGTTTGGATGTTTGTGATGTTACTACAAATCTCCTAAACCTATTAACATATCTCGATCAAAGTTGGCACAGATATGAAACATAATCTAGAAGAACACATCTTTACGAAGTTTTTTTTATTTGCCGTATACATTAATTTTGCTCTGAAAATTAATACAATCATTTTGAAACTGTTTATCTATAGGTTAACAGAATGGATGGCGGGAGCAGAAACCTGCCTACAATCTGTGGAGCCTCTAGAAGAGGATATTCTCCGATTAGAAGCCGAAATCCAGGAGTTTAGGCCAGTGCTGGAAAACATCAACCTGGTTGGACCACAACTGTGTCAGGTATGAAACTTACTATGAAAAATTAATAGATTGAATGTCTTATGAACAAGTTCATGAAAGTGGGTCCTAAATTCAAGCCTTGTGGCACTCCATAATGATTTCACTATTTCTTTAATTAAAAATAACTTTTTTAAAATAATATTGTTTCTCCAAGTATGATAAAATATGTGTAAAGGGATACTTAAATAAAACAAAGACTTTTTTGTTCATTTTACATATTTTATTCAACATGATTATTGTAAAACGCTTTTCATAAAACATTGACTATAAAGTGTAAGATAAAAGTTATTACAACTGTATTAAATAAATAAAACCACACATTATATTGTTCAATATTTTTAAAAAATGAACAGTTTTCTTTATTACATTTTTTTTCTTTGTTTAGATATCTCCTGGGGAAGGCGCGACTCACATTGAGGGCACAGTGACCCGTGACAATAGACGCTTCGACTCCATCGCGGAGCAAGTACAGAGGAAGGCGGAGAGAGTGCTGCTCAGCAAGAAGGTATGGTTTGGTTAACAGTTTCGGTTCAACGCTCTGTGCTATCCCTAACGCCGGTCCTGAGTTTGTGTATTTATAATTCGCCAAAAAAACTAAGTTATTTTAATCTGTCTCTTTGTGTCCAGCGTTCACTGGAAGTGGTAGGCGACATAGAGGAGTTGATAGAGTGGCTGCGCGGTGCAG